GACTTTAATAACATTTCTTACTTAATGGAAACACTGCAGTTGCGAAACTGTGTTTTTTCTAAATTAACAGAATATTGACAAAGTTTTGTCCATATTTGCAATGGAAACGCAGCTACAGGCTCCTTAAAAGGCCTTAAGGGTGAAATAACCACATCTTTGTGGATTATAACTGAAACATTTATAATTGACTGTGCTGTCAAAGTGTGTGTGTCTAGTCCTAAATGRCTTCCTGTTTCTGGTCTCATGACTTCCTCTTGTTGTTTTCCTTCATGGTTTCTCTCCGTGGCTCCCTGCAGGCGCTCTTTGCTTCACGTGAAGGAGATGCTTTATTAAAGCAGCGGYCGGTCGGCCAGCATCCTGCAGCCGGCCTCGCTGTGGTACCAAAACCACTCCGACTCTGGACCTTTCTCAGACCCTGACAGGCCCACAATCCCCTCTACCWCAGGGGGTCTTCATCTTCACGATGAAGACTCTGTTCAGTCGGTGCCGTCCTCCGTTCAGTTTTCTGACCTGAAGTTAAAACCCCTGAGCCAAACTTTGATTTGRATGGATTTAATGATCAGAGTATTGATCTAAAAACACACTATTTGTTGTAAATCAGGACCCACAGCTTCGTGACGATGAAGCTGACGTGTTGTTAGTGTAACTGGAGCTTGTTCCAAACGGACCACATTATGCAAAAAACACTGATTTAAATCTTTAAATAAAAGATCTCATTCTGACAAAGAGGCGGATGTCATGAAGACAAAAAAAACAAAAAACAAAAAAAAAACCCTCTGAGAAAATCACACCAGCAGACTTTTCCATTAGAGGCTGTCAGGTTCCATATTTTCCAGTTTGTGAGCAGTGAAAGRAGAGAAGCTGCGCTCAGGCTGGATACATTCACACTCATCGTTTCTTGGCTTGTCTGGACATTTATGTAAAGCTGAAGAATCTAAACATGCAGTGAGACTGACGTTTGACACCTCCTGCTGCAGAACACAAGGTACAGAAACTGCCTCGCTCGACACGTTTACACAACAGCTTCTGCGCTGTGCGGTTCATTTAACAAAAACTGCTGCGTGGTTTATGTGATAGACTGTAGAAACGATATGAAGTTGGTCTATGGTAGAAATTTACCGTCTACCTGTCCTGTCGTCAGTTACATCATCACACCTGTGTCAACAGGGCTGAGTGCAGAGACACCTGAGCAGGAGGAGTTAGAAATATAATGAAGAAATATAGTGTTTTAAAACACATATAAAGAGAAAAAATCCTCAATTTCCCCCTCCCGCTGTAGAAAAGTTACGTCATGTCACGGGATCATTTCCTCCCTCCTGCTGCACGTTGTTAAAGTGTAGCTTTAATAGTTTTTCACACTCAAGTTGTCGGAGATAAAACTTGTTTTTTATGTTTTGTTACCCACAGAGATGATAAAAAAAGATGGACGTTCGTTCAGTCATAAATCCATCTTGCTAAAGTAACAGTTCTGCTCTGATGATGAAGATGATGAAGATGAGAGCGCAGCAGAGCAGCTGATCAGTTCAGTAGCAGAAGCTCATTGTATGGCAGG